GAGAACAGTCCTTGATAGACTTTTCGGCATGGGTCTAGTCTGGATCCCTTACTCGGATCCCAATATCCCACTTGAGCCGTTTTCTGCTCCAGCGTAGGTTCTCTCATTCCCCTCAGGGTCATAAATCTTCAACATCCCTACCTGAGCCGTTTTCTGCTCCAGCGTAGGTTTTCTCAGGGTCACAAATCTCCAGCACCAGCAGCATGGATCCCACACATGGATCCCAACATCCCTACCCGAACCGTTTCTCTGTTCTAGCGTAGGTCGTCATCCCCCTCAGGGTCATAAATCTTCAACAGGATTCTGCCTCATCTGAGCCGCTTTTATTCCAGCATAAGGCTTTCTCTCTGTTAAAGTTACAAATCTCTGGTGCATCCACAAGCTCCTCTGTGAGCCGCACGGGGGGTCTCTTCACCCCAACAAATTTTCACATGTGGCAGGGTTTTATTTTTCAGTTTTTACCCTGCTGAAGGGAGGGAGAGCGAAAGGAGAAAAAGCAGCTCTCCCCCCTTCGAACTTTTCTTCTCTCTCCTGTAACTGCAGCTTTGACCTTGGAAATTCTGTTATCTCATGGCTGGAATTCTTCTGCAGCGGTTTCTTGTCTAAGCAGTTCGTCTTTTAAACCTTTTTTTTTCTTCACTCTCTCACAAGAGAGTAGAGAGGCTTCAGTGCTGCACTTGCCCCCCGGCCCAAGCCGGGGAGGAGGGGGCCTTGGCCCTCCTCGGGCCCACTACCTTCTCTCCTACATGGCTGCTGCTCCTAATTTCAACTGCGCCACAACCTTCTCTTCCGTTTTCTTAAAGATGTAATTAGCAAAGGCGTCACTGAACTTTTTGATTGGTTTTTTGTCCGGAAATCACCTGGACAAAACCATCCTCAGCCCCAGGGATGGGCTGGTGGGCAAAACCACGACACATATAAACTGTAGTGGAGATACCTCTGTGTGCACTTTGGTGAACTGATTCCCAGGGCACCTGATGTGCTGTGATCATGCAGCACATCATAATAAAAGAATGTCTGGCTTCTAAAACTCACAAACTGAGTCTTTCTTTAAAAAACAATTTTAGGCAACAATTCTTTTTAATAATATGTTTTGTCTCAATAGTTTTGCAGTATGTATATGAGTTTTCCACAAGCATTGCTTTGGAACGTTTGTGCCTTCTCTCTGTTTGCCACAGTGGATGGAGAAGATTTCTCCCTGAATTCACATGACTGTGGAATCAGGTTTGTGTACCTCCTCTTACCTCCTCAGAGCAAAGTACCCTAACTGGAGTAATGTTCTGAGTAGGTAGGAATGATTTGAGTTTCTTTACACCTCTGATTCCCCTGAGGCAACCAGATTATTATGTAGTAGAATTTTTATATTTGTTAATACTGACCTTTATTGAAGAACTGTCTTAAGAAGCATGAGTGAAAGGGAGTCGCAAACCAATCTGTTGAACTCCTTCAATCGCTGCCACCAAAAAGATGGGCTTCATGAAGTCTTCCCCTGGATCCTGATTTGCATTGCATCTTTCATACAATTTTAAAACTCCTGATCTATACAAGCTGGTAACATCATGGGTAGAATGGCTTGTTTGGATTGTTCCCAACTGCCACGAACACCCTGGATTGAATGTTATACCCTGTTATCATACTGTTATTTTTGTTGGTACTCATTATAATAATAATAATGGCCAGTCTTCGCGAGCGAAGATCCGGGGAAGGTCTTTACACCTTCCAGCCTGCGCATTGGATTTTTTAGGTGAGACACAGTGTGCGCGGAACTGAGCCCACCCTTTAATCCTAAGGTTCATCTGCCGGGGCCAAGCGAGCTTGGACAGTGGCAGTGAGGTCCTTAGGATGTAGGTGGGTTGCCTTTAAGGGCTAACGAGCCCCACCTGCCCGGGAGTGGCCCTGACCGTGAATCGAACCCGGGTTTCCGCGGTGATAGCGCGACGCCTTTACCACTAGACCACCAGGGGCTCCACTCATTATATACACATATATATATATATGAACATAGTACCTAACCCAACATGAGGATACTAACCATTCCAAGAATACATAAATTGAAATAACAATGTTTCTTGTAAAACCCAGTAATTCATTCCATATTATGCTCTGTTTAATATTGCTAACTAAATTCTGACTTTTATAACAACTTCAAGTATAAATTTTAAGTATAATGTACAATTATAATATAACCAACACCCTTTCAAACTACATGAGTTAAAGTAAGACAGTAAAACTTTGGAGATTGATGTATCTCAACATACTTAATGATAAAACACACATATACAGTGAATGTTTTTATAGCATGGAGGCAAGAAGTACCCACATTACCACTTCATGAGGTAAAAATGATTAACTGCAGTCAAGGAGGGGACTGTGGCAGGATGTTCTATCCTGATAAGGCCTAGAATCCAGTCAGAGAAATGCAAACAATGAAAACTATAAGGCAAGCTATCTGGGGTGAGTTACTGCTGGCATCAAGGTGTCGGAGGATGCAGCAAGGCCGCAGTGCCTAGCAGCATGGAAAAGAATGTAAATAAGAGGTGAACATCCAATCATACGTGAAGGTTAGTGGTAAATATAGATAATAGAGCTAAGAATAGTGTTAGTATGTAAGATTCTAGAGGAGATGGTGTGTGAGTGCAACTGTGTGAAGAACAAGATGTAATATACTGGACAAAGAGAATAAAAGCTGAATTTAGGCCATCATCATAGAATGCCCAGTTTTATTTACTTGGTCGTCCTCACAAACAACGGCATCAAGGTGCTGTCTTGGTGTTGAATTATGCTAAAACCAGCCTGGTTCACCAAACTTCAAACACACATCCTGCTTTTTGAAGCAGGATTTGACAGATAAGCTACTCACTCACCTGTAAATCTATGACTAACAGTCCATCACTTTATAACTATAAAAGCCTAGTCCAACTTTCATATGGCAGATTCTTCCATATACTTTCTTGGAGTGTGTGGAGTTCGCCCTTGAAGCAGGGATGCCGCTTCATGGTTACTCCCCAGGGGTTAAGTGACAGATCTGCCCGTTATTGTTGTGTAGTGAGTTGTCCCAGTCGAGGTGGGCTAGCAACGTGGTTTCATGATACCAACTCTCTATTACAACAGTGTAGCTACTCTTATACAGTTCTGGGTGACACATGTACACACAGCATTGTTTTACCACTAACATAACAACTCATGATTGGACATAGCCACACATGTCCGAACACAATAGGTCAGCATTCCTGACAGGAAACCCATTCTGTGTTACAGTCATTACTGTCCGTGGCTGACCCTCTACCAGGTGTAGAAGTTCCATCTTTGGTATTTCAACTTACAGAGAGCCCAGAACCAGTTGGGCTCCCCCACAGTGAGATATACCAATCTCTACGTAATGAATGTTTCTTTTGCTAATTTTGATACAATTGCTTTAATATAATTGCTTTGATACAGTACTATTTTATGCTCTATTATACTCTACTAGTAGGTTTTTAGATTTTACACTGTGTAGTAAATTATTCTGATTAAGATCTTTCGTCTGTTCATTTGTCTGTTCATTTACCATAATAATTCATTTTATATAAATATATCTGATTTGTCATAATTAAAACCTGTGGGACAAAGTAGTGTAATCATACCACTATAATTCCTTAAATTTAAACTGTTGATGTAATCTGAGGCTAAGATTGGATTCAACTGCACCCAGGCTCCTCTCTGAGAAGGAGTTTAGAAAGCAAGGGGGTCCTTTCTGCACCTCATGGCTCAACAGCAGGGCTTCTTTAATAACTTTTGTCCAAACCTTCCACTGCTCCTGCCACAGTCCCTTTCCCCCTTCCAGTCTAGTTTAAAGTTTTATCAACAAGCCCTACTGGCTCCTGTACTAGTGAAACAGAGAAAGGATTTAAAGAGTTAACTTCGAGGGGTCGAAATCTGGTTCTTGGGACCTTGCTCTGAGGAATGAGATATTTATGTTAAAATATAGCAAAAGCAGGGACCAGGCTCTAAGTATTAACTTAGAAATATAGCAGAGATAATTTGTTCTGTTCTGTTCTAGTAAAAGATAGCAGAAAGGTCAACCTAGTAGTCATAAATAAAGAGAGGATGGCATCCAGGGAGATAGAGGGGTGGTGGGTCAAGGGGAGTTTTGAAAACCCTAACTCGAAGTTAGCGAAGAAAAGAAAGTTAAAGAGTTCAACTGAGGAAGAAGAGAGGAGAAGACCCCTAAAGTGGGGCCGAAGAACGGAACGACCCCTGTACATCTCCTCAAAAGACAACTCTACCCCCGGCATATTACGAATATTATAATTAGATGTCAGAACCTGATGAATATGTATGTAGAAATGTTGTTACCCCTCACAGAAATTGTATAAAAACCCTGACTTCTCACTCAAACTTTAGAGCTACTTTGTCCGATGCGAATCAGGGGCTCTCCAATGTTGTATGCAATAAATACCTTGCTGTTTAAAGACACAAATTCATCTCTAAGCAGTTTTTCTGTGCTGTTTTGGCATCACTAGAACTCTTTCCCCTCTTAGAAAGATGCATCCAATCAGGTGTCAGTAGACCAAGTGTTGAATAGATCATCCCATGGTCAAAACCCCCAAAATCTTTCCAGTGACACTGGCCTGGGAGCCATGTGTTGATCTGATGGATCTACCTGTTCTTTAGATATTATCCCTTGCCACTGGAAGGATTGAGTAAAACACTACCTGTGCTCCTGATCCTTCAACCAATTGTCCCAAGGCCCTGAAGTCTCTTTTGATTAACCTAGGACTTCTCTTTATTTCACCACTGCTGATTGAACAACCAATAACAGATTAGTAATCAGAGGTCCTTTACCCAAGCCCCTGGGAGACAGCAGACATCCCTCAGAGTTGTGTCTGATCTGCATATTGGGCCCTCTGCTCCCCTTAGAAGGGAATCTCCTATTACAACTACCCTTCTTTTAACAGAGGAGGTCATGATGCAGAGGGCAGACTGTGTTGCCCTAGGTGACCCCTCTATCCCAACCTCACCTCATCAGTTGACTGTTTTTCTAGTTCCAGGGCCTCATACCTGTTGTAAAAGGTGCCAGTCCTGCTTGTCACTGTCAAGTTTTCAGGAGGAGGAACTTTCCTCCTAACATGGGCAATAACCAGTTTCCAGCCTCCATATTCAACAGACCCTTGACTAACTACTTGACAGGGTTCCAAGTCCATCTGCATCTCCACTACAATGGAGGTTTAAGGCTCCTGAGACTGCAGAGTCTCTGAGAATACCCTATCAATCCCTCATTCATTTTCTCAAATACTGCATAGCATATTCACTTCCTTCCCTAGTTCCTTCACCTGGCAACACAGCTCATCAACAAGAGCACACCTCCTACAAAAGGAATGATTGTTGGCCCCAGCCTCAATCATGAGTCTTTTCACTATCTAACGGGGCTCTGGGCTGCTGATCAGGTGTCCCTGAGCTTGAAAACCCCCTGTACAGTTCAATCTAATGCTCACCCCTGGACTTACCTTAGTAGCTACTGTTGCCACCTTACCAACTTCCTCCCACCCCCACCTTCTTCCCAAGCTCAACTTCACTCCTGACTCTTCTACCTCCTCCCCTAAGAGGTGCTGGGGGGTGGAGGATGGGAATTGCGGTCGGTTCATTACATGTTGTGTCTGCCACTCCTTCCCTCCTCATGCTTTTCCCCTGCTCCAGCGTGAGGTCCCTACCACAGGATACATTCCTTCATGAACTTCTTCAACAAAGGTCCTTCCCACAAGTTGCAGTTCTTCACAAACTGCACAGGTCCCTTCACCAGGGTGCAGTCCTTAAGGAACAGACTGATCCAGCACGAGTCCTCCACAGGGTCAAAGGTTCTACCAGAAAACCTGCTCCTCTGTGGGCTTAAAATATGGACTATACTTTTGTGGATGAGTGCACAAATAATGTCTGTATAATAATAATGTTTATATCTGAATGTTAACAAGATATTACCATATTTTTAAAATAGACTCTAATGGTGGTGGTAACTTCATTTTTTATTTTTTTTCCCCAGTAAAAAAACACATGGTGCGTCTCGGCATAATTGGAACCCAGTTTTTCCCACAGCACTAAATTCAGTTTGGTGAGTAAAGACCCAATTGTAGTAGTTCCTCCATTTATCTGTTAGTTAGGAGTATACCTTCATTTTACATATATATATATTCTAATTTCTGTAACCTGCATATGTAAAGAACCAACTGGTTCTATATAAGCAGTCATTACAAGATAGACGACTGTCCTAGTTAGAACAGTTGGGACCAGTTCATCACTGTGTGGGTGTAAACCAAACTATGTATTCTACATCCTCTATATCATTTCCCAGGAATTGTTAACAATAGACCATTTGCAGCAGCTGCACAGAGCACACCTGACCCCTCAGGCTATAAACTGGGTATTAAGAGACCTGTGAGATAGAAGGATATTCCTGTCCTCACACCCACGACTCACAATCACCCATTGTGGAACTCCCTGCCCAGGGGAAGGTACTGGGCATTCCTGCCCAAACCTGAGTGTATATTATCTCGGGGTCTTGGGACTTCTGGTACCACCTGTGGGATCCAGAGGAGGACCAGAACCTTGACTGGACTGCAACTTCCACTCTCAACCAGACTGCAACCATCACTCACTCCAGCAGGTTCTTCCTCTCCATTTATTTTTGGACTCAGAGGCCCCATGTGGGGCTCAGCACAGGGGCCAACGAACATTATTCTGTTCGTGCCCCAGGGTACTGAGTTATACATCTGTGTTTTCGTGAGTTAAAAGCAATTGTTCGTCTGTATAATTGTATTTATTGTATTATTTTTATTACATTGTAATCCTGACTTATAATGTCCTTTGAGTTTAGTTCATTTCTCCTGTCGGTTTACCTTTAAACCAGAACATTTTTGGTGCCCAACGTGGGGTTTGAGAAAGAAGTCAGAATCACGATTTCATTTTAAGTATTTGTTTATTTGGATACAGAAACTCCCTGATCACCATGTTGCTTGATGTATTCATGTGGATATTGTATCTGAGACTGTTCATCTTTCCACATATGGGGAACTATTTACCTGTTTTGATGGTCTCTTAAGGACCAGGGTGAGGGATCAAAATTGCTTTATTAATATACTATGTTTATGTCATCCGAACATCAGAGGCAGAGAGTTTCATTGTGAAGTCTTGTTTGCCTGTTCTGCTTTGGGTTGCTACCTCTGGGGCCTCATTAAAAATGAACCCAGCCTTTTGGGGGAACAGGAGTGAATGGTTGTTTCCAGCCTTGTACCTCCTCCTCCTTCAGACCTGCTACAACAGTCTTTGAAAATATTGAGTTTCCTTTTGATGTTAGTGTAATGTTGCTGTTAGAGCTACTTTGTCTGTTTTGTACTGTCTACACCATACTTAGGGTCAGAACAGGGCCTACTAGGGAGGTTGTCTGGAGGCCTGCCATGGGAGTGGATAATGTTGAGTGGCACGGGAAGTGCGAGGACATCGACCAGTATTTGGAGAAGTGGAATGATGTGGAAATTCCACAATGATGTGGAAATTCACCCCTGAACAACTGTAGGATCCTGTTAGCGTAATAAGACTGGTGAAGGAAAAATAGTCTGGCAGCTCCTGAGATGGCCAGTTCACAGTAACCTGTTGGACCCTGACCACTGCCTACTGGACACTACTTGGTATGGTACAGCACGGTCAGGGGGAGGAGAGGAGGAGCAAATCCACAGGCACCATGTCCACCCAAACCACAACTGAGTCAGAGGGAAAAAGAAATAAATCAACCAGCACCGTGTCTGCACAAACTGTCGAGGAACCAGAAGGACAACTGAAACCAATAGCAGTCTCCCCTGTTCAGGAAAGGAAATCAAAGACTAAATCAGTTTGTATAGTGAATGATGACGAAGAGGTAGGACCTTCACGTCCAGCAGAGGAGACAGAAATAATAACTCGATCCCTAACCCTGGGTGAACTACGAGAGCTCTGGAGAGAGTTCACGCGACAGGTGAATGAGTCCGTTCTGACCTGGCTGCTCCGAATCTGGGATGCCACAGCTAACGATACAGTTCTAGATGGGAGTGAAGCAAGGAAACTGGGATCCCTGTCTTGAGATGTGATTATTGATCTGGGGATTGAAAAGAGGCAGGACTGGTGGCGACTGTTGTCCAGTGTGAGGGAGAGATATCTTTGTAAGGAGAACCTCCACATACAGCAAGGACAGTGGAAAACGATGGAACAAGGTCTCCGGTGCTTACAGGAATTACCCATACTGGGGATAATCTTTTCAGAGGATGAATGATTCCCTAAAAGTCCAGGCATTGTACAGTGCACATCCCAGATATGAATAGTTTGCATGACTCTGACCAGAAATGTATTCCCGCTACTTAACAATGTTGCAATGGAGGGAGGGAGAGGACAAGGTGGGTGAATTGGTTAGTAAACTCAGGATTTATGAAGACACTGTCACTGCCCCATTACGAGCCCACGTCTCATCAGTGGAAACCGAACTGACCAAACATGTCCAAAGCCTGGAAGAGAAGACTGAAGAGGGCCACCAGAAGCTGAGAGGAAATTAAGGAAGGGATCCTCCATATCTCACCAGGACAAGCAAGAGTCTCTGCTATCAGGAGCAGGCATCCCCCAGCTAAGGAGAGAGGGTACACTCCAGGTGGCAATCTATGGTTTTACTTCCATGAGCATAGAGAAGATATGAGGAAGTGGGATAGAAAACCCACCTCTTCCTTAGCAGCCCGGGTACATGAATTGAAAAGAGGAACAAGTACCACAAGGAACTCTTCAAGGATAAATACTACTCTGGTCTCTCATGGGCAAGACTCCAGATGGTACAGGAATGATGATATGTCTGATCCTCTTGAAGGGAACTCCAGGTCATACAAGAAGGGCGCAGTGAGTGCCATGACCAGCACTAGGGGTACCCTGCCTCTAGCCAGGTAGAGGAGAGGGACAATCGGGTCTATTGGACGATGTGGATTCTGGTGACCTGGCACATCAGACCCACAAAGATATAAGGCTTTAGTTGAAACCAGTGCACAACGTACTTTGTTGCCATCAGAATACGTAGGGGTAGAATCCATCTCTATTTCTGGAGTGACAGGGGGCTCCCAACAACTGACTGTACTGGAAGCTGAAGTGAGCTTGACTGGGAAGGAATGGCATAGACACCCCATCGTGACTGGTCCAGAGGCCCCATGTATCCTTGGCATAGATTACCTGAGGAGTGGGTATTTCAAAGACCCAAAAGGACTCCTTTGGGCCTTTGGCATAGCTACTGTGGAGACAGAGGAAATTAGACAGTTGAACACCTTGCCTTTTCTCTCAGAGGACCCTTCATCTGTGGGACTGCTGAAGACTGAAGTACAATTGGTACCCATGGCCACAGTAACAGTACACCGTCTGCAATACCGCACCGACCAAGACTCCGTGGCTCCTATACATAAGATGATCCATGAACTGGAGACCCAGGGGGTGGTCAGCAAGACTGGTTCACCCTTTAATAGCTCTGTATGGCCAGTGCGTAAGTCCAACTGAGAGTGGAGGATGATGGTGGATTACCGTGGACTCAATGAAGTCACACCATCCCTGAGTGCTGCTGTGCTGGACATGCTGGAGCTTCAGTACGAGCTGGAGTCCAAGACAACCAAGTGGTATGCTACCATTGACGTTGTCAATGCAATCCATTCCTTTGGCAACAGAGTGCAGACCACAATTTGCTTTCACTTGGAGAGGTGTGCAGTACACCTGGAATCGGTTTTCCCAGGGGTGGAAACACAGTCCCACCATTTTCCATGGACTGATCCAGACTGCACTGGAAAAGGGTGAGGCTCCAGAACATCTACAGTACATCAATGACATCATTGTAAGGGGAAACAAAACACAGCGATGGAAGTCTTCAAGAAAGGAGAAAAGATAATCCAGATTTTCCTAAGAGCTGGTTTTGCCATTAAACAAAGTAAGGTCAAGGGACCTGCTCAGGAAATTCAGTTCCTAGGAGTGAAGTGGCAAGATGGACGTCGCCAGATTCCAATGGAGGTGATCAGCAAAACAGCAGCCATGTCCCCACCAACCAACAATAAGGAAACACCGGCTTTCCTAGGCACCGTGGGCTTTTTGAGAATGCATATCCCTGAGTACCGTCAGACTGTAAGTCCTCTCTACCTTGTGACACAGAAGAAAAATGATTTCCAGTGGGGTCCTGAACAACAACAGACCTCTGAGCAAATTAAGCAGATTTCCCATGCAGTAGCCCTTGACCAGTCAGGACATGACAGGACATGAAGAATGTGCTCTACACTGCAACCAGGGAGAATGGCCCTTCCTGGAGCCTCTGGCAGAAAGCGCCCGAGGAGACCCAAGGCCGACCACTGATATTCTGGAGTCGGGGCTACAAAGGATCTGAAACCAACTATACCCCAACTGAGAAAGAAATCTTGGCTGCTTATGAAGGAGTTCGAGTTGCCTCAGAAGTGATCGGCACCAAAGCACAGCTTCTCTTGGCACCCCGACTACCAGTGCTGGACTCGATGTTCAAGGGGAAAACTCCTTCTACACATCACGCCACCGATGCCACATGGAGTAAGTGGATCGCTCTGATCACACAGCAAACCCGGATAGGGAATCCTAATTGCCCTGGGATTCTGGAAATTATTACCAACTGACCTGAAGGTGAGAGTGTCGGATTATCCTCTGAAGAAGAAGAGGAGCAGATGACACAGGCTGAGGAGACCCCACCATATAACCAGCTCCCAGAAGATGAAAAACTATATGGTCTCTTCACAGATGGCTCTTGTCGCATTGTAGACACAAACCAGAAATGGAAGGCAGCCATATGGAGTCCCACATGGCAAGTTGCAGAAGAGACCAAAGGACAAGGTGGGTCGTCAGGTTGCAGAGTTTAAAACTGTTCAACTGGCTTTGGATATCGCTGAACGACAGAAGTGGCCAAGACTCTATCTCTACACGGACTTGTGGATGGTGACCAATGCTCTGTGGGGATGGTTAGAGTTATGCAGAAAAGCCAGTCGAGCTGACTCTGCATAATCAGAAAGTCCCCTGGTGCATATGAAAGGTATGTTAGGAAAGACTGGATTAGTCCCACGTTAAGCAAAGGCAAATCCATCTGAGGGATTGTTTTTACTCAAGGACCTGGTTTCACTTGGTGGTCAATGTAAAAAGATGGGGAGACGTTGTGTACCACAAGGGGACCTAATTTTTAGTGAAAAGTTTCTGTAATGTATGTTTCATTCTATATATATGTTTTTTATGTATTTATATGTTTTTTAAAATGTGTAAATTTGGGCGTGACTTAGGTGGTATAGAATAAGGGGTGGATAATGTCCTAGTTGGAGCAACCAGGACCAGTTCATCACTGTGTGGGTGTAACCCAAACTGTGTATTCTACACCCTCCAAGTCATTTCCCAGAAACTGTTAACAATAGACCCTTTGCAACAGCTGCCCAGAGCACACCTGATCCCTCAGGCTATAAGTTGGGTGTTAAGAGACCTGTGAGATAGGAGGATGTTTCTGTCCTCACACCCACAACTCACCCATTGTGGAACTCCCTGCCCAGGGGAAGATACTGGGCATTCCTGCCTGAACCTGACTGTATATAATCTTGGGGTCTTGAGACTTCTGGTACCACTTGTGGGATCCAGAGGAGGACCAAAACCTCAACTGGACTGCGACCACCGCTCTCAACTGGACTGCAACCTCCACTCTCAACTGGGTTGCAACCACCGCTCTCAACCAGACTGCAACTGCCGCTCTCAACCAGACTTTGACCATCACTCGCACCAACAGGTTCTTACTCTCCATTTATTTTTGGACTCAGGGGGACCATGTGGGGCTCAACACGGGGGCCAATGAACATGTGATAGTTGTAATCTAAGCCTTTCTTGCAACCAGCTCGTAACCAAGGAACTGGCCATGTTTCCAGGATTCCATACAACTTTTACATAAAGCAGAGTATAAATGAGAAGGGAGAGAAACCTCTGCTTTATTCTTTTCCAGCGGATCTGAAGGTGCAAGTTCTCTGCTATTGGTCCTACTCGTGTGGAAGAGTGAGACCTAATGAGGCCTTGAAAGCCTTGGGAGGCAGAGGGTTCCGGCGGTCGTTTAGCATAATTCTGCTATCTCAAGGAAAATAGTAAGATTTTCTTTTACGAGTTCTTTATTGGTTATTACAATTTTCAATTGTGCAGAACTTTTTTAACTTTTCCCTTTTCCCTTTCCCTTTTCCTTTTCGTTTTTCCTTGGGGGGGGGTGTTCAGAGTTCCTTTTACTATGGACATAGTATTCTAACTGTATATAACTGTGATATATGTAAAAAAATATATTTTAATTTCATTCAATTAATTTTGAGTTCTTCAATTTCTATAGTTTTTTTTTCTTTGCCCTAAGAGAAGTTTTCACTATAATCTCAGAGACTTGGCAGAGAGCCAAGTCTAAACTCTTTTTTTTTTTTTTTTTTTTTTTTTTTAATACTGTGGCAATGGCTATTTTACCTACCTGTTTCATGATCTTAACTATACCTGTCCTGGGCTATCCTGTGGGAAAATGCCCAGATGATGATGAGTACGAATTTCTCCCTCTCTGTGATGGTTTAGACCTGTTTTCCAGCCAAATGCCCAAACTCACAGTGAAAACCTCCCCCTCCCCTCTTCTCTCAGGGCAAAGGAAAAAATACTATATAAACTGATGAATCCCAAAGCCAACTGAATTATATAAAAATATATATTTTTACATATATCACAGTTACATACAATTAAAATACTATGTACACAGCAAAGGGACTCCAAACACCTCCCAAAGGGAAAGGGAAAGGGGGAAAAAGGAGAAAAAGAAAACTAAAACAGATATGCACAATTGAAACCCAGGAACAACTCAATAAAGAACTTAATAAAAGAAAATCTTACTACTCTTCTTGAGATAGCAGAATTGTGCCAAACAACTGCCAGCACCCTCTGCCTCCCAAGGCCTACAAGACCTCACTAGTCCTCACTCCTCCACACGGGCAGAACTGACAGCAGAGAACCTGCACCTTCAGATCCACTTGAAGAGAAGAGGGCAAAGGCTTCTCTCCCTTCTTATTTATACTCTGGTTTACGTAAAAACTGTCGGGAATACTGGGAACACGGCCACTTCCTTGGTTACGAGCTGGTTGCCAGGAAGACCTAGATTAAAACTATCGCACCCTCCTTAATCTCGACATCCACAGCCTAGTAGCCAATCTCCTTGAGGGTGGCATTCAAAACTTAGTAGTAAAAACCCCTAGGATCATCTCCAATCGTTACCTAATTTGCTTAGCGACAGTGTTACTATTGATGAAGGCAGCAAAAATGTTATTTAAAATTGGAAGGATGGTGTCTTACTACTTTCCTTGTTCTAGGAAAGGTCAGACCTTGAAAGAAATCGCTGGAGCTTTGGAAAGGGGTTTAGAAAAACCAGTTCCTGGTTGGCTTTCTTGTTATTACGGAAACAGACTTCAACCTTCTTGCATCTTGGAGATCACAGTTCATTTCCCAGGACATCTGCATCGACCATATAGACGACTTTTATATTAACTTTTGTTTTAACTCCTTTACTCTGACTTCGAGTTTGGAAATGGGTTCACCATCCCACTTTTTCATGTTTTCTCCCCTGTTATGCAAATAAGACCACAGTTGACTACGTGTTCAGTTAAAAATTCACTTAATTTCGAGTTCTTCAGTTTATATAATTTTTTTCCTTTGCCCTAAGAGAAAAAAAGAAAGAAATTTTCACTATAATCTCAGAGACTTGACAGAGAACCAAGGTTTAACTCTAACAGAACACTATTCTGTTCATGTCTCAGGGTGCTGGGTTATACATCTGGGGTTTTGTGGGTTAAAACCAATTGTTCATCTGTATAATTGTATTTATTGTATTATTTTTATTAAATTTTAATTCTGACTCATAATCTCTTTTGAGTTGGGTTCATTTCTCCTGATGGTTTACCTTTAAACCAGCACAATGACCATGTTGGATTCTGTAGCATTATTTGCAACTGTGAATAAGAGCTATAGGGGAGAAAAAGGATTTTGCTCAATGCTGAGTTTTGTCTGATGCTTTTTAACCAATGCATTTGTCTGTTCTTCATTTTTCAAAGAATCTGTGCAGTTATAATTCAGCATTATCATGTATACTTCTGCATTAGTAAATACGTAGGACCTGCTGAGTAATTATGAAAAAACCTCATAATGAAATGCAGCAAAGAGTTCTAATTAAATTTTGAAGTATATTAACAACTACTCTACCTAAAATAAGACTTTTCCAACCATGTTTCCCTATGAGTTCTCAGAATGCATTACTAAAAATGTATAATCAATTTGGTAAACACAAAATGTGATTTTCCACACCTCCAGCCTGTGGAAAACCATTTGTAAACGAAATGAACTAATATATATAAAAAAATATATACTGATGTTGAAATAGTAGGGCAAATGAATTAAATTTTTATAACTCTTTGTTTTATGACCAAAATCTAAAAAACCTGTATAGGGTGAGATTGATGGTCCATATAATTCAGTATTCTATTCTGAAAATGACCAGTAGTTGGTGCCTAGTGTAGCATGACAAGCATATTTTCCTGAGATATTTTTTTCAGCAGTCTCTCACTCATGAACCCCCTAATCCAGAGTTTGTACCTTTACATTTAACAGTCCCTGATGGAAATTAAGAAAGTGCAACAATTGGACTAGACTTACAACAGAAGGTTTTGTCCACATAAAATATCAGCTAAAAATTTGATTGTTGTGTACTATCTTTCATTCAGGGATTATTAAGTTTATATTTGTAGAACAAATATTTTGTAATATAAGCTGTATTCTTAGTAAAGCCCTCTCTGGAGAAGTGTCAGTCATGTCTGAGCCTGAATCCTGCAGGAGCACTAGGAGGAAACAACGAATAGTGGTGGGTGATTCCCTGCATCAGGGGACAGAGACCACCATCTGTTGACCTAACTTGCTGTCTAGGGAGGTTTGCTGTTTGTTGGGAACTTATATCTGGAATGCTGTGGGGAGAGAAACAAGCCCTTGGACTATTCCTTCCTGCTGTTCATCCCTGTGGATAACAACAATACAACCAAGGGAGACCTTGAGCATATCAAGAGTGACTGCATGGCTCTGGGGAATGAGGGCCAAGGGCATGAAGCTCCAGGTTGCATCTCATTTATCCTGTTGGTGAGGGGGAAAGGCTTGGAGAGGGGCTGATGGACCCTGCAGGTCAATACCTGGTTGTACAGCTGGTGTCGTGGACAGGGGTTTGGCTTTTATGACCCACTTTGTGGACTAAGAACTGCTAGGAAGAGATAGGATCCACCTAGCAAAGTAGTGCAAAAGCATCTTTGTCAACACTCAGGCCAACCTGGAGAGGAGAGCTTTAAACTAAGAATGATGTAGAGGTATCATGGACAGAATGGGAACTTCAGACAAAGTTTATTAAAGAAGCCCTCACTTTGAGACACGAGATGCAGAAAGGACCCCCTTGCTTTCTAAACTCCTTGTCAGAGAGAAGTCTAGGTGGAGTTAGATCCAATCTGTCCACTTTTGTGGATGACACCAAGTTGGGTTAGAGTGTCGATCTGCTGGATGGTAGGAAGGCTCTGCAGAGGGACCTGGACAGGCTGTATCAATGGGCCAAGACCAACAGTATGAGCTTCAACAAGACCAAGTGCCAGGTCCTACACTTTGACCATAATAACCCCCTGCAGCACTTACAGGCTGGGGGTAGAGTGGCTGGAAAGTGGTCCAGTGAAAAAGGACCTTGGGGTACTAGTTGACAGCTGGTTGAACATGAACCAGGGTGTGCCCAGGTGCCCAAGAAGACCAATGGCTTCCTGCTTTGTATCAGAAATAGTGTGGCCAGAAGGACTAGGGAAGTAATTCTTCCTCTGAACTCAGCACTGGTAAGGCTGCACCTCGAGTGTTGAGTCCAGTTCTGGACTCCTATAAATTCAGAAAGGACATTGAGACACTGGAGCAAGTCCAGGGCTACAAAGCTGGTGAAGGGTCTAGAGCACAAGTCCTATGAGGAGCAACTGAGGGAGCTGAGGTTGTATAGCCTGGAGGAGGTTCAGCGGGGACCGTATCACTCTCTACAACTACCTGAAAGGAGGTTGTAGCCAGGTGGGGGTTGATCTCTTCCCTCAAACAACTGAATTTGAGAAATCTGGTAAAATATCTCCCCAGAAGCTTTTGGTCTTTTGAGCAGCAAAGGTATTTATTTGTTGACATCGGGAACAAGCGGGTTTATCACCACAAAGCACTTGTTTGAAGGTATTGGTGCAAAACAGGGTAATTTATACAGTCTAACTTCTATGATTACAACATCTTAACATACATATTCATATGATTGCAACATCTAATCATACATATTGATAATAGGCAGAGTCCAGGCGGAGCTCTTTCTTGACCCCCATTCTTGGTGGTACATCTGACCCTTCATCCTGTGGGGTTGGGGTCTTCCATAGTCTTCCTCGATATGACCTCTCTACCTTTCTATTACTTTTGCCCCAGTCACTGAAGCTCGGAGAAAGCCTTGGCTTTAGGCCTATTTCTCCTATTCAAATGTCTACCTTGGCTTACTTTGCCTTAATTTATGACCTACAGAACCATTGTATAATGTTTCTAGCCTTCTTCTCAAGATTGGGTCCAAGGAACAGAACAGAACAAATTTTTCTTTAGCAATTTAGGCAGAGCAGGTATGGAGGGGAGAGTTTTCTCAGAGCAAGATATCTTGGTTAACTCTCTTTAGGCCTTGTTCTCGTTTCACAACTAGAGACAAGATGAGAGGACATAGCCTCAAGCTGTGTCAGGGGAGGTTCATATTGGACATTAGGAGGAATTTCTTCACAGAAAGGGTGATTAAACATTGGAATGGACTGACATGTAACAGCATGTATTTGCTAGTTCATGATCGCTTCCAAGATTCCTGGACAACTGGGGTTCCCTTTTTGAGGTCATTGGGTGATCAGTGTGACCCACTTACTTCATGTAGCATCTCAGTTGCATGATGTGTAGAGACCCTCCCTTTCTACATCAAAACCCAACACAGGTAACTGGGGTGCCAGGATGAACTGTGCTTCAGTACCAATAGTTTCTGAAGTAGCTTGAACCCCTTCATAAGCTACCAGTATCTCCTTTTCAGTTGGAGTATAGCGGGCTTCAGATCCTCTGTATCCCTGACTCCAAAACCCCAGGGGTCAACCTTGAGTCTCCCCTGGTGCTTTCTGACAGAGGATCCAGGTAGGACCATTCTCCCCAGATGCAGTGTTGAGCACATTTTTTACATCTTGCCCTGCCCAGACTGGTCCAAGGGCTACTGCATGAACAATCTCCTGTTTAACTTGTTCAAAGTCTTGTTGTTGCTCAAGGTCCTATTTAAAGTCATTCTTTTTTTTTTTGATCACCTGATAGAGAGGGTTGACAATCAGACTGTAATTTAGAATGTGCATTCTCCAAAATCCAACAGTGGCCAAGAAAGTTTGTTTTTATTTCTTATTAGCTGATAACTTTGCTGTTATCTTGTTAATCACATCCATTGGGATCTGACGATGTCCATCTTGCCATTTTACTCCTAAAAACTGGATCTCTTGTGCAGGTCCCTTTACTTTCTTTCATGAAAAAAACAGATTGCAGAAGGATTTGGATTATTTTCCTCCCTTTCTCAAAAACTTCTGCTGTTGTCTTAGTTTTACAAGACAGAATGTCTTCTAAGGAGGGTGGTGTGGAAAAAATCCCTGTCTGTTGAATTTACGACTATGAAAAAGAATCTACAGAACAAAGAAAATAACTATATTAGTAGGAAAATTTAATTACAACACGTGTTGGGTGCTCAGGTTCCAAAGTCTCCTAGAGCACCACTTTTGATTCAAAATCCCCGCCTTTTAAACATTCTTAAGGTCCAACTCTGTTTATGACAATGGGGGGGGGGGGGAGGGCGTTTCTCTTCCTCGAATTGGCTCTTCGGTGCCCCCCTTCATGCCAGGGGCGGAATTTCTGGCAACATGGTTACCTCCATGTACCCGCACGGCCACACACGTGGCATAAGGCTGAGTCAGCTTCATTTTCAGTTAATATGTAATTTCCCTATTTCTGTACGGTCAGTCCTTGACATACATTTCAAGACTGAACTGTATGCCTTACAACTTTCGCGGTACGCCTATAGGTTAGTAATAAGACGAAAACAAAAATAACTTTATGTTAGTAATTTTGTTCATTTTATCTGCTTATAATAAAACCGGTCTTTTATTTCTTACAATCCCGCTTTTACTTTTTATTTATGGTTTTATTATAAGTCTTATATGTCAAATTTTCTTTGTTTCTTTGGGCTCGTCCTTATTTGGGTAATATGTTTTGAACTTTGTCTATATTCTCTGTTTGATTGGAGCGTTCCCATTTAAACAGTAGTTTCTGTGCTCTCTCCATGTCTTTGGTTTGCTTGGAGACAGGACGCAGGACCGTAATCTTTTGGGATCCTGAATCTCTTGCTGTGGCGGCTTTTGGATCTATAGGCATGGTGGTTAGTTGCATCTCTTGGACTACACTACAAATTAATCTTATAAAACATGGAATTAGACAAGGTAAAAATAGTAACCCAGAAATAGTACATAAAAGAAAAAAATCCTACTTGTTTCCACCGTGTTCCTCCAAAGAGATCATTCCACCATTTCCCATCCATCATAGATTCCCACTTTTGGACTGGCACATGGGCTATTTTCTGATGGTTAGAGGTTATGTTTTTTATGGCTTCTCCATTGTCATCAATTTGTAAACAGCAATCGGAAGTGTTAAATTTCCCACACACTCCTCCTTCTTCAGCTAATAGGTAGTCTGGAGCCAATCTATTTTGGTATATGGCTGCTCGACTTTGAGTTTGTTGTTGTGCTATTAATTCTAACCCTTGTGCAGTATGATTGGT